AGAAATGCACAGATACATCATGAGCATCTAGTCATGCCAACTTATCCAAAGAAAAATGGCTCACAGACACCCACAGCCACAACCCTGAGAACGAAACCTTCCTTATACTTGAATAAGGTGGTCCCCACCCTGTCTGAAGCATTTGAATGGCAAAACATGGAACTTTTTTTTTATTTAAATACTTAAACTTGTATACATTGTATAAATTCAGAATTTCAAAAGCAAAGAATTTTCAACAGTCCTGTGCTTGCAAGTCAAATATAGTGGTATGCCAAAAAAAAAAAAAAAAGCCAAGACTCAGGCACAGCCTGCACTCATTTTGTCACGTGGTGGAATAGCACTATCACCTGGAGGGGCTTTACTTTTACTAAATACCAGCCAAAGCAAGTATACTGGAAATAAGCTGGTTTTGCCTTTATATCTTATTTTCTTGGGGGGTGGAATGCTACACATCCTTTAACTGCTTTCTCCCCCCCTTTGTACACTTTTGTCTATATACACACCGAATTAGCATTACACAGCCTTATACAGTAGTGCTGATAATCAACGGCATGCAACTTCCAGCAGAAAGCTTTGCTTCTCAGCCTAACATAACTCTGACTTGGCAGAAAAGTCCTTTTTCTTAGTACACCTCTTTGATGTTTTTGCCAGCATAGTGGTTCATCAGGGTGTGATCTTTTTCACTCTCCTGTGAAAGACTGTTGTATAGCTATGCCAAGAGACTTATCTGTATATAAACCAAGCCTATGTGGGTTGGCCAGAAGGTTTTTTAATTTTTCCAAGCAAACCCTTTCTAATCTCAATGAACAGGCATCTTATAAGCTCCCCTGTTTACATATCTGGATTGGATGAGAGTTTTACATACCTGCAACAGGTAACAAAAGAACCAATACAATTTAAGACATTGGTCTAGTAGCAATGCAAGAAAAACAAAAGTCACTGTTTTCAATCAAAAACAGCTCTCGAAAAAATGGATCTCAAAAACAGACCTTGAGAAGAACAGTCAGACACAGTAGAAATTTCCTTCCACAGATCATCATTATTTCCATTCAACAAGGGTTTACCTGTCATTATAAAGAAAGGAACTTTTGGAAGAATAGCCCCTTTTTTTCATTTGGATGTCTTCAAATACCCAGTCTAAGCTCATCAAGTCACCTCTATCAGAAATTAGATTCGTCTAGCCAGCCTGAGGTCGGTTTGAGGTTCTGCCACAGATTTACCACTTGATTTTTATTTTCATGCTTTTCTTGACAAAGTACATCCTGATTGTAGAAGGAGGCAATTTGAGACACCTCTTTATTTGTGGGAAAGCAATCCCCGTCATCTCTGTAGTTTCCATCCTTCTGTGGATTGCTTCTCTTTTTTAACTCCATGGCTGGTCTGATCAAAAGACCATCCTCATTCATTCTGTAGTCTTTTATTGCTTTCTCCCTTCGAAGCTTCTGGATGTCTGCCAGCTGATGCAGCTCCTCTGGCAGCTCCGTGCAAGTGGGCTGATAAGGAAAAAAGAAACAGAAAAGAAGTCAAAACAATACATATGCATACACATGCTCTACTTTTGTTAGTACCAGATAAGAGCTCCCTCTGTAATTAGCCAATGGAACAGAACAATCATTTCTCATTAGATCTGTGAAATGTATCAACTACCTGCTTATACAAACAATACCTAAGGGGAAAAAAGTGCCACCCCTCCCCCCCCAGTCTGTCTTTTAAAGGCAACCCAAAGGGAAAAATACTGGACTTGCATTTATTGTTTACTCCTTTATTCTGAAGATCTTCAAGATTTAAGAAATACTTCACATACAGGATTTAGATGTCTCCTGGAAAACCTTTTGCACTATGGAGTTGTTCTAAATCCCTGTCGTGGTTTAACCCAGCAGGCAGCTGAACACCATGCAGCCACTCGCTCACTCCCAACCATCAGTTGGATGGGGGAGAGAATTGGAAAAAAGGTAAAACCGAAAACCCACGGGTTGAGATAAAGACAGTTTAATGAAACAGCAGAGGAAAATAATAACCGTAGAATCATAGAAACTTTAGGTTGGAAAAGACCTTTAAGATCATCAAGTCCAACTCTTAGCCTAGCCCTGCCATTCCACCACTAATCCATGTCCATAAGCACCTCGTCTGCCTGTCTTTTAAATACCTCCAGGGATGGGGACTCAAGCACCTTCCTGGGCAGCCCATTTCAGTGCCTGATAACCCTTCCACTGAAGAAATTTTTCCTAATGCCCAGCCTAAACCTCCCCTGCCGCAACTTGAGGCCATTTACTCTTGTCCTATCACCCATTACCTGGGAGAAGAGAATGACACCCATCTCACTACAGCCACCTGTCAGGGAGTTGTAGAGGGCAATAATGGTAAGAGAATATACAGAATATACAAAATAAGTGATGCATTATGCAATTGCTCACCACCCACTCACTGATGCCCAGCTGGTCCCCAAGCAGTGATCCCTGTCTCCCAGCCATCTCCCCCCAGTTTATAGACTGAGCATGACAACACATGGTCTGGAATAGCCCTTCAGCCATTTGGGGTCGGCTGTCCTGGCTGTGCCCCCTCCCAGCTTCTTGTGCACCTGGCGAGCAGGGGAAGCTGAAAAAGTCCTTGACCAGTCTAAGCACTACTTAGCAACAACTAAAACATCAGTGTGTTATCAACATTCTTCTACTAAATTCAAAACACAGCACTATGCCAGCTACTAGGAAGAAAATTAACTCTATGCCAGCCAAAACCAGGACAAGCCCCTAAAAAGGCATAACCAGTTCATGTTTGCTTGTAGGAGCCACTGCAAAGGCAGCTTTCCCAGCTTTTAATTTAAAACCTTGGTATTCTATTCTATGGGTAAAAAACCCAACAAACCACTTATGTGGAAAAAGCCAACATAGTTAACAAATCAAAGACACAGCTGCTTAGGAAACAGGAGAAAGGAGATAACACTCCTTGATTTAGTCCTGAGCAGTGCATGGGGGGCTGCTCAAAATATTACATGCAAGCATCTGCTCCTCAACAAGGACTGCAATGCTCACCAACTTTGTAGGAACAACAACAAAAAAATCCACAGTTGCATTCAGCTGTAGGAAGTGCAATTACACAAATAAGGAAGCTTAATTAAAAAGTAGTAAGAGGCAGCCAAGCAAATTCAATCCTAGCAGGTAGCATGGAGACAATTTCAAGACAACATACAAGCAGCACAGAGTAAACGCTACCTAACAGCGAAAGATCCCAGAAAGAGTGAAAGGAAACTGACAGGACTACAGGTTAGGGGAACGGAGACTATGAAGTAAGCATCCTTCAGGAAAGCAAAGCCCCATGCAAGTGAAGAAGATGGTAAGGATGAAGTTACAGAAAAAAAACCAAAGGGCAGGCCAGAATAATTTTATTAATATTTAACAAAAATGTAACAGAACTAATAAAAAAAATTCTTCATACATGAGAGGAGCACAAAATGTCAACCATGCTGCAGGCCCAAGTGATGATGAGAGAATACAAAAGCAGCATGGTAAAAACCAGGATATTTTCTCTTCTACATTCAGCATAAAAAATGTGGAGATTTCCATACCCAAAAACATTCATTATGTGCCCAGAATGTGTTTCAGATTGTCCCATAAATACTTAATACCAACACCTGAAATAGAAACAATGTAGATTACATCCAAAATTCCTGAACAGCGGAAGATGGAAGAGCTGAACTAGTAACTATAATATCTTGCTTAAAACCTGCCTTGATACCCAGGGATTGGAAGATGGTCCCAGGAAAGATACAGGAAGCGACATGCTGGTAAGTCAGGTGTCTGTATGAGCATACCAGTAGAAACACTAAGAACAGAATGAGCGGATATACAGATGTGATGCACTGGAAAAGAGTTACCACCGCTTTTGTAAAAGGAAGCTGTGCCTCACAAAACCTATGTCTAGAAGTTTGCACGGATCCAGAGGAAGGTTAAATGATTTGGACAGGATTGCAGAAAAAAGCAACTTACTTGAGAACACCCCACCTTCAGTTCTGTTTAACCAGAAGAATTCACATCCAGCTTCCTAACTGCTACAGTATCCTACAGTGAGAGGTAATCCATGCCCCAAACCACTTAAAGCCAAGGTGCATGAAAATTCAGGCTGTATATTCATAATGATTAACATGCATCGTGTGCAGTCCCAACTCACCTGCCAGTTGAGAAAAATTCTGTCTCAGGCATGCAATTATATTTAGACAGAGAACAGAGTTTATGCCATCATGTGTCATGAACATGTTATCTGGTATTATATACCGCACTACACCTTAAGTGCATCGGGAAATCAACTCTGCTGCATGGAGGTGTGCATCTCCCCTATGGTACCAGAGCTCTGCTTGTGAACTATCACCACTTAAACAAGAAAGCACTGTACTTCTAGAACATTTGCTTCTTTACACTGATGGGTTCTCAGGCCGTGTCTGCTTCTTTGAATCCAAATCCTAAACATCAGTATGCAGGTGCATTTCCAAGTACCTAACAGCACACAATATGAATCAACAAGGAGAATTAGAAATGTAGCACATACAGCTCCTTTACCAGCTCTTTTCTAGTGACAGAGCTGTAGAAGCACAGAAAACCATTCTACTTGATGTCTACATCCACAAGAAGAACAATTACTCCTGGCAGACAGTTATGCTGAAAACACAGGAAACTGCAGGGACTTTCAGGGTGGGGAGTTTGTGTTGTGTTCTCCCCCTCAGTGGTAAGGAAGATTATCAGTTTGAGAAAGATGCCGAAGAGGGAAGCTGAGGGCTTTGATAACGAAGTGCTGAGGATCAGAGGTTACTGTTTTGCATCTGGTTTGTGGGTAAAACATCAGTTGTTTAGGAGGGAGCATCCACTATTCAGAAGACTCAACTACTACTTGCAGGTGATGACACAAGAAACCACAGAGTGTCAACACGTTTTCAGAACTGTCAGGATCATTAACACGCCTTTTTTTTTTTTTTTTTTTTTTTTTTCTTTTTTCTCTATTTTCTTCTTCATTCTCTTCTCCCAGTACTACATCAACAAGGGTGTTGCATTATCATTTTTGGCTGCTGTGGACCACTGGCAATACTTTACAGTTGCTAGCAACTGCTAGGATGCATGACACCCATCTTTTCTGCAACGCTTTCCTGAAGGAAGCTCTAATCCATGGAGTTGCGTCCTGACACCTTGACAGCACATCTCCCACCTGGCATAGCAGCTCATGGCCCAGCCCCTCAGTACATCTTCTGTTACTGCTGAAACAACTATCAAATGACAAAAGAATGTGTTGTGCCATCCAGAAGCAAGGTGGAAGCCTTGCTGGAAGGGCTGCCCACTGGCTGACCATAAGGACCCTGTTTCTTTGCCATTTCCATCAAAACATCTGAAAGATCAAGGCGAAGAAAAGATGGCTGACACCTCAGCTGAAACGAGGACTACCACCAGTGACTGCTGTGATTGCTCATGAGAATTATGACATCCAAATCAGAGACTCAAACGTACTATTTGCACAAAATACGTAACTGTGGCTTGCTCTGCTCTTACCAGTTTATTGCTGTGAAAGCAATAAATTGTCATTAATCTCCATTTCTACCAGCTTATCTATGGCCTCTGACAATCTAGGACTTTGTTCCCATCAAATTATTTATGAAAACTTGTCTTAAGTAAAGGGAAAGCACAAGCTTCTGTTGAAACAAGCTGGAACAAAACAAAACCCCCACCTGTTCAAGAAACAAGGCAAAATTATAGACACAGATACATACAATTATGCAATTAAGTCTGAAATCAAGCACTCCTGAACATGTTGAAGGCCACAAGGATGATCTGACCCTAGCAGGAGGTAAGCGTTTAGCCAGAAAGTGATTCTTGTATTCTGCCACTAACGGGGGCCTGTTAGAGCACACAAAGTTCTCACTGAGGAACAAGAGGTGCGTGTAGAAAACAGACTGTGGAGACTGGGCGTACAGAGCCCAAGGAAGGGTGGTGACAATTACATTCATCAGCCTTATTCAGACTTGTCTTTCCTCAACTCTCAGTGTATGCAGTGATCCATAAGGGCAAGTGAACAGGCTTGGCTTTTACTCTCATATTCATTTTTCCTTGCTGCTGTTTCGAAGAGGAGAAGACTCTGGTCCAGATCTGCTCCCAGAAGCTGAACCCCTTGATCTGGTAAGAGAAGAAGAGAGTAGGTAACTGCTCCAGTAGTCATCATTCAACACCATTGGTCATTACTCAGCATTATTCAATACACAGCCTCAGACTGAGGAGCCAAAGCATATTTTTCACTAAGTATATCCCGATACTGTTATTACACACAAAAGCCATTGGCATTATGAACTTCTGGATGTGGAAGTCACCCAATAAAGATTAGGAAGATGCTACCATGCTAGTCCAAGCTGAAGTTCAATGTTGCAAACCCTGATCCAGGAGCTAAGATTCAACATGTGACAGCTGGAGATGGGAGGGAATGTGGCTACGTATTCCATCCAGCTTCAGTATTTAATTTTTAAAGACTTATGATTGAAACTGTGCCTGTATCTGTGTACTTGTTTTGCAAGTATAGTTTCCACGGGAATGTTGTAAGTTTGTCGTAATGGGAGAAGGAAAAAAAACCATTCTTCTGTCTGACATGATGTCACTCAATAAGATCAGAGGAAACATGAGCAGGCCAGGGAAGCACAGCTCATTCATTGCTCTAGTCAGGTACGACATACTCAGACACACCTTTACATTCCAGAGGCACAACAGAAGGCATGTCTATATAACTACTTTTCCCTTTGTCAGAAGGCTGAAGACCTGGTGGTTCTGTTCAGAAACCACAATCCAAGAACTAAAGCAGAACAAGAAGGGCCCAGAAGAGCATTCCTTACCTGGAGTGATGGAAGTCAGTCAGTTTCCAGATCTGGTCATCTTCTCCAAGTGCCGGCAAATCAAAGAGGCCACGGTAACTTGGAGACTGTCTTGCCTAGTGGCTTTCACTCCCACAACTTTCAAGTAAAGGCTTGATGTACCATAGCTGGTTCCTCTTCACTCAGAAACTACGTCCATCTTCCAATTTAGAAGCCGAAGTAGTGCAAGATATCTTTACAGCCCTGGAGCATTTATTGTCTTTGGCTTTGCTGCAGTCCTGCTTCAGCAAGAGAGGCCTCTCTTCCAGTTCTCCAGTATGGAGAAAGCGCAGTAGATAACATATTTCAGGTTTCCAAAATGTTTACCTGGCATGGGTATTTACTTCAGAATCCAAGGAGATCCATTACTTCTGCTGAAGTAGTGTTGGAACTGCGCCAGGTCACGTCTGGAGAATAGTCATCATGCATAGGGACTCCAGTGTTGCTGTTGTTGGAGACTGACTCCAAGATGAAGTGAAGCTCTTTGTACCAGACTGTTGTTCACCAAGGGTCCAAGGTGGAGCACAAGTGTAAATTGTAACTGGTCAGTGTAAAGTAGTAAAGTAAAATAGTCCAGTAAAAGCATTTTCCAGGTAACTTTCAACTGTAGCTCCACAAAATGCACAGAAGGCATAACACAGAGCTTAGTGATGGATGAACTTTACTTCTAAATATCCATGAAAAAGCACTAGAATAAATATGGGGGAAGGGTAAATGTCTTGACTATTCATTCTGACAATCAGATCTGAATAAAGGCTTCTTGATTCAGGGAATTAATACAGACCTAGCTAGAAAATCTAGAAGTTGCAGAAAAAAAGCTTTTTTTTCCCCTCCCCAAAACAGGTTTAGCTAAACGCCATCAACTTGCAAAGGAGTCCCTTAAAGTTAACTTTGTTTGCTTACTCAGTGAAGAAACTGAACTAACAGACCACATTTAACTAAACCAAACTCTGTATTTGGAGTTTAAATATGTATTGCAAGCAGATTTTAAATAAAGTACAAGAAACTTTCATTTACACGATCTTCTCACAAGATACAGAAACAACAGAAATTATTAACAGTGAAATGATGGTGAAAATGGCTACTTTTACTAGCTGTACTACAAGATTTCTAAAGCAACTGCAAGAAGTATGATTATCAGACATGACACTAAATAGATCTTCAAAATGCCATTTGAAATACTCAGGATCAGATTAATTCCTTGGCTAATCTTATGGAACAAATGGATTTACAAAAGGATTGGCTTTAGCAACCTGAGTACCACTTTAAAAAAATTCTACAAACAAATAGCCCAATGCAAACCAGATTTTGTACTCTTTTCACTTTAACAAACTGTTCTTTTCCCTTGTGTCATGCCTTCTTTTGCATGCATATCACACTGGAAATTCAGATGCTGAGCTCATTTTTTTCCATGAACTATGAACACCCTTCTTATTTTGGCAGCTCTCCTCTAAAAAGTAAAGGTTTTCAGACATGACCTCTTCTCTTCCATCTGTGAAGCAACTATGACCTCTTGTGGTTATCTAAACTAATCTCCTAAATCCTCAATAATGGGATTTACTGCTCTGAGCCCTTAAGTAATTCCCAAAGGATTCAAGTCTGTGCTTGAGTGCTTTGTTAAACCAGTGCAAAGAAAAAGACAATTTATTCCATGAAGATAGACCTGCATTCTCTTTCCTGTTACAAGACATTTACAATTGCAAAAATGGAGTGGCAGCAGGATTTAATCAATTTAGTTCAGTCTCTTTGTTATGAATAAGGATGTTTGACCATTCACTTTTCACAGAGATTTAATACCAGCAATGTCTTACATAGTTACTGCAAGCCCTCCTAAGATTACTTCGTTGAGAAGACAGAAAAAGACCACACGAATACCACTGCTTGTTTGGCTTGCATGGACCTCTTCTTTCCATTAGCACAGGAAGTCAAGCTCCTTAACCAAAACTGTTGTTTCTCCCCACCCCACCCCCCTTTAAAAACTAAAAAGCAATTACAGAAGTGTCCATCATATAACAGCCACTCCACGGTATCTGGTCATGCAATACTACTGGTTCTGTGTAACCAAAGAGGCAAAGTGTTACTTGACTTGATTTTTTTTTTTCTTTTAAGATAACATAGGTGAGAAGAAATTAGGAAGACAAGGTAACTCAGAGATACTTTTACAGAAATAAAAATCTTTGGCCAACAAGAGACAACACTTCTCAGAAACAGCCAGTACATGCAAAAGAGCTCAGCAGTAAAGATGACAGAACAGAAGAAAAATAGAACAAGTATTGGGGACTAAATGCTGTTACCAAGACAGCAACTGGCAGCTCCAGGTACCAACACTTCACAATCGCCTGTCCCTCTTCATGCCCTCACATATACACAGCCTCTGTTGAGCCCAGAGGTTCTCAGTCTCAGATGAGAGTGAACAGAAAGCACGTGTGCCTGTGCCCATGCCTTAATAGCTGCAGCTCACCATCCACAATACTGACTTGAGGTGGATTTGTACTAATGGACTAACATGAAATGCAGCTAGGTAGATATAGACACCATCACTTCTGCTGCTGTACGCAGGAAACAAGGTTTGTGGCATCAAGTAGGGTGTACAGTTGCAGAAAAGGAAGCTGCTGTAGCTAGGTCCTCCAGAGTATATCCATCAAAGCCTTAGATCAAATCACTAACCAGAGAAACAAGCAAAGACATACCTACCTTTGTGCTCCCAAGGTGATCTCCAGGTGCAGTCCGATAAGCATTTAAATAACCATGTACTACAGCTGTTAGGTCAGACATCAAATTATCCATTAGAGAAGAGTGGAGCAGCAGAAGGTACATAGCCTTCAGAGCAAGGGCTTTAAGCAGAGAAGCTGGAAAAGGTCTCAAGAACCATATGTCAGGATTCTCCTGTGTATCCCAATGCAAATGAAAACAGTTATTTAAGTAGCAAAAACTATAACAGAGCTTTTCATCACATTCTTCTGCAGTTTACAACATATCTCCCAATGCTGATCTCTATTTTCAGTGCTACTGAATACTTGCAGCTTCTAAGGCCACCTGTATACAAGCCTGTGGATGTTAGAGAAGGAGGAGCTTGGGAGGAGGGATTGCTTCTTTAAAAAAAAAAAACCAAAACCAAAACCCCAACCCCAACACATACCTATTCCAGCACAATACTAGGTTCTCTCTCACCTATCTCTGAAACTAGGTTGGGTTCCTAAGAGCTGAGCTGAAAGACCTAAAGGGGAAAAAACCCCTCCCATCAAGGGAGCTGGGAAATCAGCTGGGGATAGTAACATCTTCAGCCATCACAACTGGAACCAGAACAAGAAAATGAGCCCCAGTTAAGCTTGACCACGATACCCTGAGCAAAATTGTCACTATGGAGTGGCTTACACTGGTATACTTACTACATACACATTACAAAGTTATTTTCCACTTTTAGTCATCAGACCAACAGGAGGATTTGGTTTGGTAAACTAAGGCAGGCATGTTGTCATTTGGTTTAGATTTGCCACACAGAATTCTCTAAACAGAAATTTTGAGCAACACTATTAGAATTCCAAAACTTATATAAAAATAAAGCTGTGTTCAAATTGGAGGTTTCACTGAGTAGCTATTATAGCAATATCAAGTAACATTTAATCCAGGTTTTTGAGAAAGATTTTAAGACTATGAACAGGCAGTGCAAAACCACTCAGATTTGCTCAGGAAGTTACAAGACCAGTATGAAGGAAGAAAAAATGCTCTGGTAGGAAAGAGATTGTTCCTATTCAGTAAATAAATCGTGTCTATATAGTGAGGTCTCATTAAGTATTACTTCCCATATTTAATAGCTTCTTTGGAAGTCATGTCCCGTGTTCCCCCCCCCTGCCCCGCTAAAAGCAAAGTCAGGTGATTAAAAACCCAGCAAAAAAGATGCCACAACTGGCACTAGCATATTTATATTGTTTAACTAATTTTACTATTTAACTAATTCAATATCCTCCTATGATAAGGTCACCTGCCTAGTGGGTGAAGGGAAGGCAGTGGATGTAGTTTTTCTGGATTTTAGTAAGGCTTTTGATACTGCCCCTCACAGCATCCTTCTGGACAAGTTGTCCAACTGTGGGATGAGTGGGTTCACAGTGTGCTGGGTGAAGAACTGGCTGAAGGGCAGAGCTCAAAGGGTAGTAGTGAATGGGGCTACATCTGGCTGGTGGCTGGTCACCAGCGGTATTCCTCAGGGTTCAGTTCTAGGGCTAGTTCTGTCCAATATATTTATCAATGATCTGGATGCAGGACTTGAATGCACCATTAAGCGAGTTTGCTGGTGATACCAGACTGGGAGGTGCTGTTGACTCTCCTGAGGGACAAGATGCCTCGCAAAGGGATCTAGATAGACTGGAGCACTGTGCTATGATTAATGGCATGAAATTTAACAAGTCCAAATGCTGGATTCTGCACCTAAGGCAGAGTAACACCAGGCATAAGTATAAATTGAGAGAGGAGTGGCTGGAGAGCAGCCGTGCAGAAAGGGATCTAGGGGTGCTGGTCGACAGCGTGCTCAGTATGAGTCAGCAGTGTGCCCTGGCAGCCAGGAGGGCAAAACGCATCCTGGGGTGCATCAAACACAGCATAACCAGTCGGTCAACAGAAGCGATTATCCCACTGTATCCAGCATTGGTGCAGCCTCAGCTTGAGTACTGTGTGTGGTTCTGGGCCCCACAATTTAAGAAGGATGTGAAGGTCCTTGAATATGTCCAGAGGAAGACAACAAAGCTGGTGATGGGGCTGGAAGGAATGTCCTGAGAGGAACAGCTAAGGACTTTGGGCTTATCTGGTTTGGAGAAAAGGAGGCTGAGGGGTGACCTCATTGCTCTCTACAGCTTCCTGAGGAGGGGACATGGAGAGGGAGGTGCTGAGCTCTTCTCCCTGGTATCCAGTGATAGGACGCGTGGGAATGGTTCAAAGCTGCACCAGGGGAGGTTTAGACTGGACATTAGGAAGCATTTCTTTACAGAGAGGGTGGTCAAGCACTGGAACAGGCTTCCTGGAACGGTGGTCGATGCCTCAAGCCTGTCAGTGTTTAAGGGGCATTTGGACAAAGCCCTTAACCGGGCATTTGGATTAGACGATTGTTGTAGGTCCCTTCCAACTGAAATAGTCTATTCTGTTCTATTCTATTTATCAAGCTTATGTTCCCAAAATCTTAGGAGCTCCTGGCCCATTAAATTTTCCCTTGCTTGTCCCCATCTGAAAGATTAACAAAAACAAGGACAACAGAGAATAATGATTTGGCAAATGCTACTGAACTGCACAAGCAAGAAAAAAATCGCTACTCTCATTTTTTCATTCTAATAGTGCTGGCAATAAAAGTTTCCTCTTTCCCAAAAAAAAACATTTTAACCAACTTCTTCTGTTGGAACGAGGTTGCAGAATTAGTCAAACACTAAGATACCCAGAACATTTTTTACCCGAGTTATATATATCCCCTATTGTACAAGCTTTGTTGTTCTTCAAACCCTCAATTTCAAATGAGCTATTAGGAAATCAGCATAAGCACTGTTGCCAACTAAAGCTTGCATCTGTCTCCCAAGTCAGTGTTACAAAATGTCCTTAACTACAGCAATTCGACCACTGCATAGTGCCATGCTCTTAAAAAAACTGACAGAAACATCTCAAGATGGGCAAAGCACAGCTCACAATTGAGTCTTCAGAAGGTGCCTCACTGAATCACTCACTGAAACCATCTGCTGCCTGCACTTCATGATGGCATCCCATTTGGAAGATATCTTCAAGTGCTCCATCAAACACTCCTCTAATGTGCAGACACGGTGCGGAAGGAAGCCGCCTGTTGCCACTGAGAACTGCAGAGCATCAGCAACCTGCAATGGAAGGGATCAATATGCCGTGACCAGCGTCTGTTAACCCAAGGCAAAGGATATGGACGTTTGACAGTGGGGATGCATATTAGAATTAAAGTATGCTGCAAACAAATTAATCCTCATTTTGACTGCATGCAGTTGCAGAGCTAGTAATCCAACTCCTTAAAACTGTTAAGTTACACAAAAGGGTAAATTAAGTTTTAAGAATGACTTATGTAAGTTATATGTTGTAGTAGTCTAAGGTTCCTTCTAGCCCAGTACTCTTGCCTCCAGACAGCGGGTGGCTTGGAGCAGTATCAGAAGAGCATAAACACACAGTGATACTTCCCCAGGATACTTATGGTTTTGCCTTTTATCTAAAACCTGAAATAGTGATGTAATTGTACAGAAAACATGACGAAAGAATATGCAAGCCTATAACCTGATATTGCCTTTGGCAGCATACAGAGCCAAAAGGGAAGCAGAGAACAGCCTCCAGCAGCAACTGCATGGCATGGTGTTTGCTTGTTTCTCATCCTGGTTTCATCCCTTTTACCCTTTTGCAGTAAGAGCAGGAACAGCCCTGATTCTTGTCCCTAACCAGGGAACACAAAGATGAGTGGGACTATTGATACAGGTGCAGAGAGAAGACAATGGAAAAGGGAAGCCTGGAAGAGTCCACTCACCAGGGCAATGGAGAGTTAAAAATAAAAGGCCTGCATCCACATTCAAAATCTGAGACTGAGCTATCTGCTATTAGAACAACCTACCCTTCAGACTTTCTCTGCTACTCAGGAGCCCAGATTCCCACTCTGGTCCCCTGAAATTCCCACTGACCTCTCACTGCCCTTTTCTACTCCTGAGAAACCTTGGGCATCTCAACACAAGCATCCACAAATCCCACCAACAAAACCATGAGTTTACAGGGCAGCCCAGTTTTACTGCAAGGGTTACAGCCGAAGCCACTGTTCCAGCTGTTCTACCACACGCTGCCCATGTGCTACCTGGACCAGACCATGTAGTGCTTGGCAGCACCAGCTCAGCCCCTGCAATAGTGACCACAGATTTGTAACTGACCTGTTCTGGCCTCTTAGGGAGGGTAAATTCCAAGACCAAACCCCCATTCCTAACTTATCTATAAAGTCTTTGGGGGAAAAAAAAAAAAAATCTCTTCCTGTCCAATAGCAAAGGCAAACAAGCTGGTATCATTTACTAATGACCAAAGCTGTCTCTGAGGCATCATCTAAATAGCTAGCTGCTGCCTTCTCTGGGAGAGAAGCCATGTATTTGCTAAGCCTACCAGAAGAAAGCTAATCCAAGCCATTTACTGAATTTCCAAGGAATAAAAGATTGTATGAAGGTATTATGAAGAAAATGCAAAACATTAGAACACCACAAGTAGAAAAAGCAGTCTTGGTCTAAGGACAGAAACGTGAGACCTCCTATGCTCTGTGGCTGGACAGAGAACCTAGGACTGCCTGTATTCCTGCTAGGCTGACTACATTGCTGCAGTCCAAAGAAGTCTACAACCACCAGCTGAAAACTGGCAGGAAACACACCTGGAGAAAGGAACTGCAACAATTCAAACTGATGAGTTCACTGAAGAGAATACAATGGAGAAGACCCAGGCGAAGCTGACCTTCACTGAATTGTAAGCACAAATCACCAGGTAAAGAGGAAGTTTCCCTCACTCATTACTGAACAATCCTTTGTATTGTACTTCTGACCACTAAAACCTTCTCTGACTTTTCTCTCTCAGTGGCCAAACGCAGATGAAGAACCACCTCAGGAAAGACCTTCTCAAGCAATGAGTTACTTTTACTCAAAGTCAAAACAAAGATGATCAAATCTATGGAAATATATTCCATTCTTCTAGATGGTTAGAGAGAGAGTTTCTAATAAAATGTCAATGCTTTCCAAACAAAGAAAGAAAAGACTTAAATATTTAAACAAAAATGAAAGCATCTTTGCAATCAATATTCATAAAAAGTCTAATGTGAATGAACAATGAATAAACTTGCCCACAATGAAAACAATGTTTTAGCTTTCACTGTGAAAATATTTGTCCGAAGCCATTGCATGCTAATGGCTTGGATTTAAGGACATAAAACCTACCACACGCTGAAGAGTAGTGTATGTGCATAGATCTGTGGAACCAGACAGCAACAGTGACTTCTTCACTTGTACATTTTATGATTAAACCTTACATGGACCTCTGTCTTATGGAAAGTCTCAAGCTGTCAAATTTTCTTTATTCTTTCAGCACATACCTCTATGAAGAATTGTATTATTTCTTTTGGTAGTACACAGATATGCAGCCAACAACATTTTACAATAGGCAGGGATTTCAGAGCGTGAGAATGCTCTATCTTCATGATGCAGGGTAAAAGTGTCCAGAAGTCAATGTTAGGGATGTAAGAACTGGCAACAGATAGTTGTCTGCTCGCTATGCAGCTTTTTAGGCTGCTATAGCCCAACAGGGACACACACCAGCCCCCACCCCCCCAAGGCAGTCAAATATGAAATAGCAGTATGAGACTTCCACAAACATTATCATTAAAAGTCACTTCAACAGGTGATGCTGAAGTACTATAAGAACATTGGTGGGGAAGATGGTCAGTGAACATCAAAAACCTTTCACTGCCATCTGCTAAATGTTGTGTTAATTAGATTACTTATTGCAAGGAATAAACAGTTGCAGCAACTACCCAATAACATGTTTGAAATTATGCAGCCAGGATCTCATCTAACCCAGAGTTCTCCATTGCTGTGTTTTTTTAAGCAGAGTCTCACCTGTTCCCATCTCTAAGAAGTGCTTCACAAAAAGCATCTATGAGAGTAGATGTCTCTCAGAGGTACCGCCCAGCTATTTGCTCCAGTAGTACAGAGTAGAAGACAAGACAGCTTAATTCCATAATATCATGTACACTGCAGGGTAGCCAAAACCAGACTACTTCACTAGCTTGTATTAGAAGTAAGATTCAGGCCAACAAATCAGAGTAATTGAATCTAAGCCTAGAGATCTATCAGTGCAAGAAAAGCATGCATGTCATCTCATACTAAGACAACAGGACAATGAATGGAATTCTGTGTACCTCAGACCCTAGGGAGGACAGTTCTGGTTAGTTATTTCCACTGTGTCGGTCACATGTTCTGGCCAGTACAGTTGAGAGCACTGATGGGAATTTTCACCCCTACCTTTTCATGCAGTCAAGACTTAACACTGACACTGACCGATATTTAACCTGTAATGGAATAACATAATTTTAGGGGCAAAAGGCCAAACTAAGATCAGAAGGGGACTGAGAGAAGCCTCTGCTGTATAAAGCTTATGACGTAGCCCAGATTAGGGCTTTGAAGAGTTACTACAGGCAGTCATATCTGTGACACAAAAGTCAGTATATAGGCAAGGACAAGTCATACATAACTACGCATAATATATCCATGCCCACTATGAAATATCATAGCCATTATGTTATTTTCTTCTCTCTTGAAAGGCTCTAATTCTCCTGTTAGCCACGCAACATTAACTACCACAACCACCAGGGCCAGAACCAGCAAAAACAGATTTCTATGGTAACCTGGCCTGTTCTCTCACTTCCACCACTGCTTTCATTAGCAGGTGCTTCCCGTGCTGGATACCTGCAGCCTGAATCTGTTTCTACACTTGTGAAAGGGGCAGAAAGAATAACAAAAACTATAAAGCACAAGCTGACCTGGCTCCTGTTAAAGTCACAGTAGCCTCAGGTTGTGTCAAGTTTGATCAAGACCAGTTAATACATCTTAAAAAAACCATATTAAACTTGCTGCTAGTATTAGATATTAACCACCTTTTAAAATGAGTTTACACAAGACTCTGAATAACACCATCAGCCTTCCCTGCTGGTTCTTTTTAGCTAGAACAAACCCGCTACATTTACATGGTTCAACAACTGTCACAGTCTAGTAATGCTAAACCTTCTCTGAGAGAATGCCCTGAACAAGGCTCAAGTTTCTCTTGTTGAAACTTTTGTTCCCAACCAGAATATCTGAATGGTACCTGCGTATCAAAGACATTGCAGAGCAGGACACCGTACTGGTGAAAGAGGCAGTCTGAGATCCAGCGGCAGTCATGCATGACCTGAAGCAAGAAAGAGCTGTCTGACAAACTTGTGTCCAACTGCAACCTTCTTGGTGCAGCTAGATCATTATATATGTGTATGACCTCTGCCACCACAAATGTCTCCACATGCTCTGTACCCTTACCTTCAAGATGTTTTTATCTTCCAGCACCATTTGTAATCCATTTTTGAAAGCCTGAGGTCCCAGAAGGAAGATATCAAATAGAAAAATACATCTCTCTGTTGCTATCTATAACAAATTCAGTTGCAGAGAAAATGAGCGAGGGACAGAAAAACAAAGGATTTGAAAGTAGGTGAGAGAGCACTGTTGCCCACAAGCCATAACCTCCTATGTACAGACTTATTTTGGGAAGAGCAGGGTCCATAAAAAAAAATATCCATAAACAAGTCTTGCTTTTTTCCCAGAGATGCTCACAGACTCTCACAATAATTAGAAAGAATGACCCAGTAGTCTACTACACATGTAAATACAGCATTTTAAGACATATCAAGAGCAAATCCTATGCACAGTACTTAAAATAAATTCCTACACCTATTATGGTGGCATTTTTAAAGAACCACTTTCAACAAAACTCTTGTGCCCATGACATTCCTTTCATTGTCAAAGACCACTACTAAAGAAATAAAGGACATCATTTTCCATCCTAGCATTTCAAACAGGATATAAAATTTAGGTTTTGTTTGTGTTCAAATTCATAATGGTTTAACAAAAGCTGTTATTTAAAAGCAATTTAGCCATACCAAAGCAAACATTTTGTGGACACTTACTTCTGCATAAACGAGTTAAGTTTAAAGCATGAACTCCCACACAAGTTCTTGCTTTGAATAAACACACTTACTTTTAAACTGATTTAAAAATAAACAAAGACAATTTCGAGCTAACACATTAAGCTATTCTCCTTTCTGTCCCTTCCTTTTCAGACATTGATAATCTCATAGCTAATTAAGATACTGTATCACCTTTAGATGGATTTTACTCCTTCAATTATATTGGCATTGTGATTAGGTCTTGCAGTTTTTCAATAGCTGTACTAGTGTAATACCTCTACCTGTATACAAGTATATAAAGATGGCAAACCAAATATGTTACACTGTTATATACAAATGTATATATTACATACAAGTTAAGTAATTATTATATTGCCTTATAATGGCATAATTCTTTCTGTAACAGGTCTTTTATGAAATACCTGATCCGTCTTGAAGAACATCATATCCCTTACCAAAACAGTTACGTGACTAAGTCTTAAACATAAGATAATCCCCTAATCCCCAAATGTTTCTCAGTTATGCCTCTGTTTAGTGGCACGTTTTGGGAAATACCTGCCTCTTACCTCAAGCCATGAGAGTTTTCCATGACGACACAAATTAACACCTTCTCCTGCTATACTGACAACACACTGCTGTTTTAGGTGTAATACCTAATGAAAAAAACAGGGATAAAATAACTACTGCCAGAGAATGATAGCCAGAGGGACATATAATAAACTGTGATTTTTCTGGTCATGCTCCATATTTAAAAATATAAATACAGATCAAAACCACATTGAATCTCAGATATGTAGTGATGCAAGAGAAACAGACACAGTATCAGCCCAGTTACTGGACTGGCTGGAAAACCTGCAACTGGAAACATCAATGATGGATTTAGCAGAGATTATGGATAACTAAAGAATATAGACTCCCTTGATCTCCTCCCAAGAAAATTTCCTATGTAGTTTTAGGAACTTCCTTAAGATCACATGAAGATGATGTTCCTTTCAGTTAAAAAGGAGAACTCATTTTCCAAGGTATAAAAAAACCCCTGTTACTCTCACAGACACAAAGAGTTTTCGGACAATAAAGGTCAAGCAACCTGTAATATGCATGTAACACAAGAGTAGAAGTCATAAACGGAAATAAAAAATCCAGGTTTTTTCTTCAAGTAGCAGTTAGATTCCTCTGTAAGCAGGGAAATCTCTTCCTGTGGGCAAGAGCTTTCTCCTCTGTACATGCAAGAGATTTATCATAATAAGAGCCCAAATTGCAACTGATGTTACTGCAAGACAAAATGGCGTGGAGGACCTATAATATTGCTGGTCTAATTTAGAATCTAAAAAATGATATTAAATTTAATAATAAATCCATCATTAACTCAGAATTCCGAAACAAAGCCTTTCTACCAAGTCTGCTCATGTTGTTATACGTCATTTAAGAGAAAAAGGCATGTCTGGAGTTCCAAACACCTACAAAAGCAACACAGTCGATTCCCTCTCCAGATGCCAACAAATCCTCATGTTGTTCCCTTCCTACACAAAATAACCATTTGCTAAATAATAATACCGACCCTTTACCTCAGCTACTGGTGATACAGTCTGAAAACAGCAACCAACACGAAAACAGCAACCAACACACACTGATGCAGATTCACATCCATCCACTGCAAACTCGTGCGCACTGCATCTTTCCCTGCGTGTTTTTCCCACACTTTAAATATACATTGATGTCACCACAGATACCATTTCTACTTAAAATAAGCCAGTTACTACCTATTACTGAAATCTCACTACAGTCTGCAAAAGTGATTTCCAGTATAAGACGTCATGAACTAGTGCTCACAACCCTCCCACCTAATAGATCTACTGACAATTAGCACAGAACAGGCTTAGAAGTCGTACGGACAGCGTAAGAGCTTTCATTAGTACTTACTGCTGGGCCAAATTTCTGCTGGAAACAATCAACAACTGTGTATTCCACATTCTCTTCTTCCTTCTTCTCTAAAAGGAAGGAAAAAACCCCATATAATTAGACGCCCCCTCTACTTGAATAAACTTTGCACAAGGTATGCATTTTAGCTGTATAATCGCTCTACTTTTCCTGGTTTAGCTGCTCAGTTCTAGAGCATGAACCAAAATTCTGTCTTTTGACAGAAACACTGGCTGTTTGGAAGTGAGTTGCAGTGTTACTTTTTGTCATTATGACGCATAAAGGAAACAAAAAGGTTTCAGTATAAAAAAGGCAAGGAGAATTTAAGCCAGATTTTAATATCTTTAACACCTGCTTAACAATGTCTAATGAACAGGTAAAGAAGGGTTCTCTTAAAGAATCTACGCTCTCCTTAGGTAAGATGCCAATGTTAATAATATGCATCCATGACAACACAAGGACAATCTTCTAAACTCTAAAATAATGGTCAACTGAAAGATCATAAGGACAAATTTTCAAAGGCTCTCACAGATCACACCAACCCTTGCTCTTTTTCTCACCCACTGCCCAGGTAAATGCAGCTAACCTTCCTTTAGCCCAAACAGGTTTTGCACTCTTGTCACGGTTCTAAGAGAACAGAACGAGCTGATCCAACGCAAGCACATGACAGCCAGCACAGAAGCAAAGAGCAATAGCCTTGTTGAGCTTTGAGTTATCTACCATGCCACGTATATTTCAGGAACAAGTATAAGATTAAAACAATCAGCAGAGAGGAGTGCTCACTGATGGAAGCACTTTGATTTCTCCAAAAGATCAGCTGTGCTGCTCAGCCACTTTTACAGTTGATGACAGCAACAGGGCAAACATTCTGGAAAGCAGATGAATTTCCTTCTGATGTTGTGAATGTGTCTGCACGCAAACAGCATGCCTGCAGACAACGAGCTCTGTACTTATCTTCTTGTGACCATTGTTTTTTCAGAATACATCCCGTTCCAATACAGACAAACCAAGAGATCACAGCCTCTGAGAAAGATGTGGTCTGACAAAGACAAACTAACTATATTGCTTGACTCATATCCACATTACCTGAGAGGGAGTATTTTAAGCTATTTGCAGCTCTGAGCTGGCCCTCTAGGGAAACACAAGGACTCCTCCATGGGCCACAATTTGCTGGTCCTGTGTCAGCTTGTTTGTTCCCTTCAACAGCTGAAGTGCACCTGCATGAGCAAGACAACCATACATGGCACAGAAGTCAAAACACTACACATGCCATCAGCACGGGCATTTTAATAAGGAAAATTATTTCATCCAATGCCATCTACCTGCATCCAGACAATGAACTGCTGCATGTGAAGCAACTTCCCAATCCAGTATGCATGGTTCTTAAAGAAAATCTTGAAGCTACCCAACAATAAGCTTATTTTGCACAAACGAGCCTCTATTTCAGATAAAATTACACATTTATTATGAAAGTAAAAGGTGAAAGCAGAACCTGAACAGTTGTTCACTGCAAACATCAGCAATGGTTTCAAGGGAAGAAAGAGTTCAAAGCACATAGAATGAAGTACCCGACCTGAGCCCCAAACCCACACAATTTAAATATCTATAAGTTTTTACACTGAATCAATAATTACAATTAATAACAATCAGTTACTGTAATTGAAGGTGATTCTACATGTTCACCAATATGTAAACCAGTTATATCCACTGAAACTTTACTGTAACAAAATGGAAGTTATTAAATCCTATAAAATGGCAGCATTTCAGGACCAAGAAAAAAATAGAGTACTAAGCATTCACCTGACTGAAAGATATCACATATGATGCTTAATTTCTATGACAGGACAGTCTGAGGTCAAGAATACTTCACTGGGAATATGACTTATTAGCATAAATTTCCTTCTATCGATGTAAAACCATCCCATTATGATTATAGAACTACAATCATGTACCTCTATCTCAATAGAATAAAACATAAAAACCCCTTTCCAATCAGCCTTTAGATGTAGGTGAAGAATCTTGTATCTAAAATTATATACTTAAAGGATTAACACAGGAATCTGCTACTGAGGCGAGCATATTCAAGTATGTAGTAGGCTTACTTAACAGGAAGAAAGAAGACAAGACAGCAGCAAGCAAGAAGACTGCTGCTAATCACAAATCCATGTGCTTTTAAACTATATTTTAAGTAGACACCACTTCATTCCTACTTCTCTTAAGAGGAAGAATAAACTATTCAAACGTGGTCTTGTGAGAAGACTCAAAGCAAAGCCATCTAGGAGCATGGGTCTGCAGGAGTCTGAAACATATTTTTATCAGCTTCCCAAAGTCACATTTATACATGTTTTGAGAGCATCTGTGTAAACTTAACCTTCCCTGTGCAATTGTCCTGGAACTGTTCCACCACAGAAGAAATGCTCATAGGAAATCCTCCCTGAAACTACAAGCTGACATGGAAACAAACTAAGCAAATTTTTCTACCTAGGAACACTAGTGGGAAGAAAAAAAAAAAAAAAAAAGAAAAAAGCAAGAGACAGAAATTGTAAGGAATAGCTTGAATGAACCTTTTACAGAGTGGAGGTCTTCCATTCACCACCTTGCTCACCTCTTCAGAGCAGAGAAATACATACTTGACACAGGTGAGTCTGAACTCAGTATTATACTAAATGTAAGCAGTGACTCCCCTAGCAAGTAGGTCCCACCCCTTCTCCTACCGTGGAAGGAAGCAAATGTTTCAACGTACTCAGGGAGCATTGCTGTTGCCTTCCCTGAATTTGGTTCATCCAGCAATTCCACTGCAATAGAAACAAAAAATTTATATGCTAGTGCTGACAAGCAACTTTTTGACACTTGCTATCTCCCAAAAAAAGGATAATTATATGCTAGTGCTGACAGCAACTAGCTTGTTTTTTGACACTTGCTATCTCCCAAAAAAAGGATAACCATAACTGATACTAACCACCAGAGGACATGGCCATACATGCAAATAAAGAAACTGAACTCAAAGTGTAGTTTAAATAATTTTAAATTCACTCTGAGGTACAAACCTATATAAAATAACTTACATCAGTAGCCTAGATAAGGTGTATTTCAGAACTCTAGCATTTAAACAAGACTAATGGCTTAGCATCCCACCAAAAACAAAGTCGCTATCAAACTACAACTAATTACTTTGCAGACTATTACATATACAATAAAGCAGGTACAAGGAACAAGGCAGAACAGAACCAGTTAACCGCTCGGTAAGTCCAATGGCTGCCTTCTGGGTATTTCCCCCTCAACACTTTGCACCTTGTCCCCAAAGCAAAGCAGATGCCAATAGAAAAGCACAGGACCTTTATATGCTAGAGAAGTTTTTCTTAAATAATCCCATATTCTTATCACTAGTAAATCATGGAAAGAGGCTCAGATAAACAGACCATTTAATAGAGATGCTTTCGCCTACGTGAGTAAAAGCAAAACCAAGTTAACTAGAACTCTAAGCAATTTAACCTCCCAGCAGAGTCCATTACTGAAAATCTTTCACATACAAAATGAATGTAATTTGCCTTCAGGATGTAAACGGGGGGCGTGCTTATCTCAAATGACTACCTTCAGAGTGGTTACTTTCATTCATTAGTGGTCTTACTGAACTTCGTTCATTATTTAACTAACAAGCTTTAATGCAGTACAGTCACAAGATCGTCACAAAGTGGGGGGAATTATTATTTCACCAATAGATAATTGGGGAACAAAAGTTGCATGCTTTATGCAACATTCTAAGTCCTATTGATTTTAAAAGATGTGCAACTGAAGAATTCAGCAGAGTGACCAAAAATGGATTTAAAATGCTGAACTAAGAGCAGGCATGATCCCTGTGCCCCAAAATGCTGTAAGAAAAGCCTCACCATTGACTATTTCATGGCCAAAAAACATCTTTACTCCTGGAGTGCTTCTGCCAGTTTCCAAGTTCTTCACTGAAATGAGGGAGGGGAAAAAAAATACAGACATACATCAAGTTCCACTGTTTGAGGTAAAAGCTTGTAATTTGCAGAACAAAGCACGACTGTAGGACCGGGTAGTACTATTAGCTGGGGGGG